CTGACCACAATGACGAAGAAAATGAGAAATATAGTTTTCTCTGGATGCAGTACAGGGTGGCAGTGATTGATGCATATTTAAATACTTGTTTTTATTTCATTAAGTTGCTCAGGCATATGTAACCCTGGCATCAGAATTTGATCTGGGGAACTGAGTGATAATGGGTGGGTCATCATGAGGATGGCATCCTTTCATTAAAACACATTTTGATGTTCACTCAGATGTGGCCATGGCATGCAGCTGTGAAGCTGTAAATAGTCAGGAAAAAGGTGAATGGAAACCGCCTGCCCGTGAGCTTTTTGTTTAATTAAAACAGGCCATGACGTAGAGTCTGCAGATATACTCTCTGATATGAAGTCCAAATGAGATGTTTCTGGCTTTAGAGACACAAGTGATTATAAATGCTTGATAAGAAATAGCTATACTGGTCAGACAGCACTCTAAAATCTCAGCCCCTATCCCGATGCTTCTGCTTGTTATTTAAATTGGCAAAGAATTAAGAGCAGCACACAAATACACAGTATGACTGATGTTCATCACAACACCCATATCCATTGTTTTCCACATAGGCCCACACTGGCAGCGTTTTGATGCACGTCAGCTGTCATGAAAAGGCTGCATTTTTTTTTTCCTACTCCCAAATTGTCATATCTTGCACCTTTAAATACTTTTGTGTTTGACACACCCAGTCTGAGCTGTGTGCGTCATTTACTGACGCACAAGCTTATTATGTGGGCTGAACTTTAGTCTAATTGGAATCAAAAGCAGTCTGTAAGCACAAGTAAACAAATCAGTTTATGAACATATTAAATTTAAAATGAAGAGATATTCATTAAAAAGGATGCTAAATTATAAAGTATCACAACCACATCAGTAATATTTGTTCTGTTAACAGATCCCTAGAGAACTACTTTTTCGAAATTTAAATAAATACCCTTTTAATCTGTGAACTAGGCTTATTTCTGACTGAAACTATCGCCCTGTGTTGATCTCTTCAGTGTAGAGCTGGGCGATAGAACGATAACGATATGTATCGCGATATAACTTTTACTCGATAGAGAAATTAAGCTATCGCGATAGACCTCGCCGCTCTTGTCCTCTTGTCCTTTTTTTGAGACAAGCCTCTAATTATCCTCATTATTGACAAAGTCAACACTGCAGCAATTATTGAAAGAACAGAACGTAACATGCACATAAAGTCAGTTTTAGTTAGTTTGTTAATGCTTGATCATTAGGGCCACAAAATAACACAAGGTACTGTCTGCATTAGGCAAAGTAGTTGCATTCACAAAAGCTAAACAGCATCTAATGTACTTTATGTTTTTCAATTTTTCCACACAGGATTTTTTAGTTATGATTTTTACATTGATTACTGTATGAATAGTTTAGCCTGTTCAGTTTAGTTTGTGAAAGAGAAATTGTCTGAACTATATGTATATGTATGAATACCCTAGCGTGTTTTTGTGTATTTATGAATTATGCTATGATTAGAAATAGCAGTTTTCTTCCCCTACAGAGTTATGAAAAGAATGCCGGTATCTCCTGACTTAGTCCTATCAGTACAGAGCAGTTCTCTGTAGAGGGAGCCAGCTTAGATATTTTTTCTTGAAGCTTTGCTGCCAGTATTAAACTGTCAAAACACACATACATGTGTATGCAGTGACATGTATAAAAAGCTCAAAGGACTTGAATGCAGACAGGCAGACGGTCAGACAAATATAAAATATATCAGTGAAGGAAAAACCTGAAAGGAATTGCACACATTTATTCCTTTTCCTCCTTGTTGCTTTCAAAACAGCTGAAGGTGGCCATTATCAGTCACAGCAACTATAATATGTGGCCATTATGGTCTGCCACATTTAGTTGGTGCCTCAGTATTGTTTACATTTGCCACACAATAGCTTTGTATTTTTATATTGACTGTATGTATTGGAAAAGCAGCTGAGAAGGAACAATGAGGGAAATGTTTCAATAACATAACATTCAATAACTCTACCACATGGGTGTTTGAACTGTAAATTTACTTCAGTTATATAGGATTACGTGTAGAAATGCATTGAATAGCTTTAGGAAATAAACAATCACCGGAAGCACATCAGGGTAGTTTGTAAGATGAAGTCAAATGCAGGAAGACCAATATCAGCTAATTGGGAATAAGGGGTATTCTGCATCTGTGCCATCAAAGTAAATGAATTTGTAGTTATTGTTGTTGGGGCAGATTTAATTAACTCTACATTGGAGTCACATGGATAAGTGGCTTTTATGTGTCTGCCTCTTTGAAAGTCCACATTTCAAGACTGAATGTCTCAAAACTAATTAGACTGTTTGGTTACTGACTTCACCAAATACTGCTGCAATACTCCGGTGCCTTAAGCCAAGACCTAGCAGGTGTATCCTTGACAGTTCATGGATTCACTGAACCATGAAGACTACATGACTCTATACAGTCTACGCAGCTGTGATGCCTACTCAGCTACATGTAAATAGACTGATTCATATATAGTGCTTTGAGTACTCCAGGAGAGTAGAAAAGCGCTTAAGACAACATGTCCCATTCACCAATTCACACAAGCACTTCTATAATTATTCTATGTGTGATAATCCATTGTTGACCAATGCATTGTTGCCACTCTACTACAACTACATTTTTGTCACCAGTTAGCGGCAAATTCACCTCATAAACTAGACAATCAAGAATCTATTGTAGAGTTTGATTTAGGGCTAATGATTTCTGTAATTTAAACCATTTCTACACTGTTTGTCTATTAGGACATTATAGCTAATATTGCAAATTCCAAATGGATTACCATATTGATGCTGCTGGAGTGTATTTTGTCTTAATGTTGGGTAATTCGAATAAGGGAAGCTGTTTAAGTGAAAAAAAAAACCTGTTAGCAAGTTTCAGTTTCACAAGTTGGCCAAAATAAAACAAATGTACTTCTAATTTTGCTTTCTGTGAGTGTAGACCATCTCATTTAGGTAAAATGTGAAAGCTGAGATAATCTGCCTTTAGGCCATTAACTACAAATCTTAATTAAATCAGTTAGATAAAAACATCTAAACTCTGAACTTTCCCTGTAAACTTTAAGCACTATGTTTTTCCTTATGGCTGTTCTTGTGGCTTTGTATTAGTGTCGACTTGTCGTTGTTGTGCCGTTTTCAAAAATGTCGGTCATTCCTTTCTTTGGCAGCCACTGACCACTTCTATGTTGGCAGAAAGTGTTAAAGCATTAGAGGCTAAGTTTCCCCTTCAGGAATTCTACCTCACACTAAACACTAAATAAAATCTAGACAAAGAACGTTTACTTGTAGTAGACATAAGTAAATAGATGTTACATTGACTGCTTGCTACACATGAGCTATTCGCTTAATTTTTTAGCCATCTTGTTGCCCTCTCAAAGAATGCCCTCCCAAGAGGAAATAATTACATCTCTGGTGAATTACAGAAACTCTTGCATCTGGGAACTGATTCCTTGGTTGAGGAGAATGATTTGGAAAAAGGTCTTTTTTTTTTTCACATGCTGTCATTGTAGAGACTGTTGGATTGGTTTCAGTCAAGCAACTGTATATATAAAGCTTAAAAGAGGCAATAGGTGTGGTTTGCTACTACAAGATTGGAGCTATATTCTGTTCTGATAATTTCTTCCTCAGGACACAATCCCGGTACTTCTGTGGCGTCTTGTTTGCTTTTCATAAGTTATTCCAGACAATTGAGATCAGAGCAAATGTGTCTGAGTGGGTCACCCAGATATGAGGGTTCAGTAGTGTAAAACTGTTTACCATTGTCATAATTCATCAGACTGTTGCTCATTATTTAACATGGAAATATGAGCTTGATATGAAGTTTTGACTAAAAGTTTTCACTATGCGCTCATAATATATTCAGATTTACAAATCTGTTGCTTCGCAACCCTACCTGCACTAATCATATTCTTCAATAATCAAGTAACATGTTGCTGAATTGCACTGTGCAGAAGGTTACGCAAAAACAAGGTCAGTTTAGGCTAATGTTAGCTGCAGAGACAGTACAAAAGATGCACAAAGTCACCTTGGCTTCACCCACTGGTTTATGAAGTTTTGTCTTTGAAGCCTTGATATGACTGTTTTAAACTGAATGTGATGAGCAAGGGGTGTAACTCCCAGTGCAACTGCAGGCTCAAGTCATTAGCCAGTAAGCATACCCCTGATGATCGTCCTTCCTGTTAGAATGACCAAATATCACAAAAATAGGCTTCATGTTTTATTCAGTGTGGCATGAAATGACTGAGTGAACCTATAACCTCATCAGGAAAGTGTCTAATGAGGTTATGACTGAGGTCCCGTTTGCAGTAGACTTTGATAGAAGTAGGAATCTTTTTTGCATCCACAGGTATCGCCCCTTGTGGCCAGTGAAAAGAACGCAGGTTTAAGGCAGTTTGATGTTGGCTTCACTTCTCAAACTGTGTCCATCTTTTATTCTGTCTGTGGATAGCAGTGGCACAACAACACCCTTCCTTCCTAGCAGGTTAGGATCTACACATTTGTGCATTGTTCTGGTTGAGAGCCAATTTACGTTTATACGGTCTATACACAAACAGATTGAAGTACTGCAGAGCTGCCCTGCGCCACACAGCTTTTTTTCTTCTCTTCCCATTATGTAGAGAGAGGGGAAACCAACAGTGAACTGGCAATTAAAATGTGTATATTATGAATTATTAGTTAAACTGGAGAGTATGTCTGGTTCTAGTTAGTTAGGGTTATGTTTTAATTGTTTAGTTGACCAGTGCTTTTGCTTATTGCTCTTGATTTCAAATAAACAAAATCATGTCATTGGAAGATGAGACTATTTAAAAATCATTGACACCATCGGCGTCCTCTTCATCATCAGCCTTCCTTCATCAACTGTTGTCCTTTCCAAAACTTCAAAGCAAGGACGCCTGCTTACTAAAATGTTTCAGTAATGAAATGGAGTAAATCCCATCAGTTTAACCTTGAATGATCAAATGAGTGGTGTTACTCACCAGAGTTGCCCTGCGTGGTGTGTTCGCAGTGCATATAGGACACCAGAGCAATGTGGTCTCACACAGACACGGATCAGTTCATCAGCCTTTGGATTTCCCTTCAGGTTGATAACCAGTCCATGCTAAAACACAATAAAATTAATTAAAAAAAAAGCTTTATCAGCTTTTCTTTGTAGCTGTGCTTTAAACAGTTTGAATACATTTTAATGCACGAGACATAGCAGCACTAATCTGCTCTTTTCACATATTTTTATAATTACGTACTTTAAATTGGTAGCTCGCTTCAAATCGCGTTTGTTATTGCATTGCAGTATAGATTATCAATAAATGAGCAGATTTTCTTGATAAAACCTGTGCTTCTGCACTGGATCAATTCCTTTTGAAGCAAACTAAGCCTCTCCCACCACAGATTTTCAATCAGAATAGACAAGCCCATCAGTCAAGTTACTCACAGTGTGTGCAAGAAATAACAATGAGAAGGTGTGTCTGACCAAAGAGGGATCCCAAAAGTCTCCAAGGCTTTTTCTTCCAGGTCATGTGACCTGTGGCTATCAGCCTTTCAGCAGAATGAGGTGACTGGACGTCTGGCTGATGGACCTAAACAGATCATATGAGAGCGTGGCCATGTTTAAATTATTGCATGTTGGCTGAATTATGAGGCTTTTACTAGTTTTAAGATTTTATAAACTTGTCAGAACATGCAAATTAGATATAGACACATAAATATAGATCCTTTATTTAAGTTTTCCTGCAGCTACTGTTCACACTGATTTTGTAGGGTAATTTTTGTGGTGCTTAATTTTGATCATATAGTTGTTAGTAGTCTCTTTCTTTAAGAATAGAAGTCTGCTAATAATTGGCCTGTAAGGGGCAATTGATGAATATAGCCACAAGGTGGTGCCTTGTTCCTCTGCTGCGCACTCACCCATCTGCAAATATCAGATGCAAATATCAGCAATCAATGGTTGTCTGATGGTCTTACTTACTAAGTTTATCATCTGTAATCTGCAAAAAAGATATTGTTTATTAGGTCTACAATAATCCAACGGGATAAGTTTCCCCTTCCTTCTTCCTGCTTTTAAAAAATCATTAGTTGTATTAACAACTGATGATTTTATGTCAGTGCCTATCAATTTGTAATCAGCAGTGGGGATTTTCATTTGAAAATGTATATTTGCCCAGCTGTGCTACTATCATATTTTTTTATTGTGCTGTCACTGTCACAAATATAACTTCTGCTAACTCTGTGAGATCGATCCTCTTTCTAACACCAGTCAACACATCTAGGAGAGAATAGAAGCTCTCCAGCCTGGAAATAAAAGTTGTCAGACACTTTCAAATGCATACCTACACTTTTCTCGTACTGAGGCGTAATCATCTTTGACAATGTATTACTTATGGCTGCATGGCTGGATGTGTGAAAGACATTCTCATAGTAACCATTTGAACTGAAAAACCTTTAAATTAAAATGACTGACATGCTTCCCATGGCCTCTGTAAATCTGTGGCTAAGGCTAATGTGACCTCCATAACCAAGGGTCCTTGTTCAGGAAGGTCCTTTCAGCCATGTAAGCATGATTGGTGGCCACATAATTAAAGACATTTCTATGTGTTACTTTACAGTTAGTTCAATAAGCAAACATTTATTTTATGCTCGAGTAAATTAAGTTTCAAAATTGAGCTTGTGGAGGAAGGCCGAAAACTCTTTGTGGATATTTTTTTTCCCCCAAAGCAAAGGTTACTCCTTTGGTTTTCCAAAAATGCAAGTCAGGTGCAAAGAGGAGAAAAGTGATTCATTAGGAGGGGATTGTGATTGAGGCCGTGGAAAAGATGTGAATTTGCTCTGTGTGTTTAGATAAATCAAATTTGGTACAAGCACTTACTTTGCTGCGCCTGGTCAGCAGAAGCTTATTTAGATCAAATTAAGCGTGGCAGCTGGGTTAAGTGGATCTGTGGAAGAAAGAAAAATACTGCTGTAAGGGTGATGTGTAATATCTAAAAGCACATCGTTCACTCCATGATGATTTCTATGTTATCAAACTGCATGAACTGCAAGCTTTAAAGGGTTTCAACTTTAAAAATGAAAATGTGCTTAATGTTTCTTACATTGTGCGGTTGAGATGTTCACAGACAGCACTCCGAGAGAGGAGAGGACCCGAGTGGAATCCCTGGGGGGAAAAAAGGATTCATTTATTAATTGCAGTATCAGTGTGTCTTGGGTTTTGTACGATAACAGCTCCCTGTGTCACCATCTGCCCACATCCCACTTAGCAGAGTGGGCACATGGGCTCATTCAGGCGCAGCCACACCCAGCTGAACCACACACACACACACACACACACACACACACACACACACACACACACACAGGGCAAAGGAGCTCCTGTATTGATGGCCAAGCCTCTTCTCTTTAGAAGGGAGTCACCGCCCTCTGCTGGCGCTCCATGTGCCATACACCACCCATTTTAAAGATATTTAGAACAATAGAAAAGGAGCCATAAAGAGGACAATTGGATAATTGTTTCCATAATTGATTGTTATATAATGCATATCTCACACACACACACACACACACACACACACACACACACACACACACACACACACACACACACACACACACAAACATTGTACAGTCCAAAATGCACATTTGTAACCTGTGCTTAGATTAAAAAATTAGTTAATGTTAAATTAATTAAAATTGATAATTAATTAATTTTTATTAATCTAAAAGGTTCTAGCTAAAAAGAAGGCAAGGGCACGCACTCAGGTGGACAAGGTGAATGCACAGAACACCTGCCATGCTCGACACACACTTCCACACTGGCGAAGAAAACTCAGAAATCTTCTTGAGGAATGTTAAGACGACTAATCCCGTGTCAGGGAGCTATAGAAAGCGTGCTAACTGGAAAAATCACAAATTGGTATGGGAATATGCGCCGCCCAGTATGGGAAGGCTTTGCCTCAGGTGGTTAAAACCATCCAGTACATCACCAGCACCCATTTGCTTTTACATGATTTGATTCACATGAAATTCCAAACGTCCAGACTATGTTTGTTTAAGTTAAAAAAACATATTTCAAAGTAATCTGGTCAGTTTTAAATGTGACTCATGCACATTTCCATTTGAATATTTATATTCTTGGACTTTGGTCTGTGACTCATGCAAAGCTACTGTAGTATCTGGTGATTTGCGATCTTCATTTGCCTTATAATGATGCTAGAGATACACCAATCCAGCCATTACCATTTCTGAGCTGATACAGACACAGGGGTTAACGGATCTGCCGACGCAGAGTACTGATCCTGTACCAGTGCTAAATTAATCTGTAATGTACACTGCGAGGACGAGACTCGCATATACTATCACATCCAGTTTTTTGAATCAGGACCTGACAGAAATCTGATCCAAATATTGGACTGGTACATCTCTACTTGATGCAGCCCCTCATTTTATTGACTGTCTGAAATGTCCCCCTATAAGTCCACCCTAAGCTTTAAGTCGATGTTCCTCTTGTTGGTTGTCTCTCATTAAAAAAAAAAAAAAAGAAAAGAAAAGAAAAAAACGAAAAATGAAAGATTGTAAATGCCAGTGAGTTAAACGTCAGTGCTGACACCCATAGCTGTATGGCTGACATGGCTATATTAGGGATATCACCTGAACATGACATCACACAGATCCAAGGCTGGAAAGAAGCTGTTTGAAATAGAGCGTTTATAGCAGTCTCTGATATAAACCACAGAAGAACCTGAACTTTATTATAGATTATCCCACAAACGTGCAGGTGAAAATGCAAATATCTTAAACAGTCATTCAGATTGAACCCCTGAACAACAGAGCAGGTAACGTCAATTTGCTTAATACTGTAAGAATAACATGCCATAGGAGACAATGTTAGGCACCCAGATTAAGTATTATGGTAACATATGCAAGTCATTAGAATTTTAATAGTTTTTAATGGCTATATTTAATGTATGCTATGCTTGCATGTATATGTGAGCAAAAGATAGAAAGGGTGCAAAAGAGAGTACGAAAGCTTACAATATACAGCGAATACACACTCACACACACTCACGTACACACACCCACTAATCTCATCCTCAGAAGCGGGATGGCGATCTGATCTTCCATTAGCTTTAGCTCTGCACTTAGGGGTGGGTGAGGGGTGCTGAGGTCCCCAGAGGTGAAACTCTATTAGCACGCAGCATGAAAGTCAATGAAAAGGACCCCAGTGTGCTCCAGTCCCCCGAGAATATTAATGTTTAATGATATCTAAAAAGGCTAATTCCCCCACCTCTCGCTTCTGCTCTTATCCTCTCATTAAATATCCTCACAATATCATCACCTCCTCAGATTAGAGCACTGACCCTGTCTACTGAAGGACTCACCCTTCACTGATGGTAAATGCATCCTTCTCTCATACACACACATGACATGAATGAAATTAATGTGCCGTTTAAGATGTGTTTAAGGGGAGACCATATGAAATATGGAGGTGTTAAAAAGTGACTCATATGCAGGAAAAGCTGTGAGTGTTTAAATCAAAAGAGTAGGAAAGAAACTACATCTTGTGTCTCAGCGCTATCTGTGACATGTGTTATGTAAAACCAGCAAACTTAGACAGGCTTTTTGCTTAATTTGTTAATTGTTTGTTTAATAAAATCCCCATTAGCTGTGTCTTAAAGCAAAGTTGTTGTTCCCGTGATACATGTGTATAAATACTATTACTAAATACTGAATAGCTGAGCTCAGAGAGCTGTTAAACAAGGTGACCCAACGTAGTCAGCGAACGAGTGAATTGTTTCAGACTATTTTGGGTTACAAGTTTGAGATTAGGCCAGGTTATATGAAGTATTTGTAACAAGGAAGTTGTGAATAAAGAGTGTAAAATTCACAGTGGATCTCTGTTCAGTCCCCTGATGTTTCATCTGGTCTTCTAGGAATAAAAGAAACAAGAAAGAAAGTACTTACTAATTTTGTGATTCAATTAAAAGCTAATTTACTTTTAGACTAATCATTTAGTTTAAAAGTAAGGTCACTCAGAGCATGGCTACTGTTAACACTGAGGCAGCAGCATCTGTCTATGTTTGTAGGTTAGCAGCCACTTAGCTGTAGTGAATGAGTTTGTAGTGAATGGTGGAAGCAAGATGGCGCCGGTGTGCATGGCTGACCGTCTCCGACCACGTCTTCGCCTTGGCGTTGTACTTCTCGTTGTTTTATCTTTGGTTTTATGTTCTCTAGGTGATTGTACACTAATAACTTATGACAGAGACACGCTCCTGAATCTTCGGTTTTCCTGTTCTCAACGACCTGACTGCCTTGGGACCGCCGGTGCCGCTATCCCCCTGATGCCTGTCTCCCCTACCTATGTTACCTATCCTCCTCTTCCCATGCTCTGTAGGAAACGCTTCAGGAAACGGGGTAGGAGGAGCGGCGTCCGTGTCCGCGTTAAGGCTTATATCAGAGCCATGGCTATGGACTTCCCTTCTACAAGCCGTGAGCTATCCTGTTTCTTCCACTATCTCAGCAGCCACTCTGCGGCTAGATTGCTAACCCACCGTTGGATTTGCTCCGTCGGCCTTCAAACCTACCCTGCTCGCCCAGTGGCTTACCACTCTGCCCGATTTTGGATAACACCGCCTGGCCGCGGTGTTCAACATAACAACCTTTGCTCCTTGCGACGGGCTACTACAAAGGTCCTGGCCCCCCGGATTCGGATGGCCTTATTTAATGTCAGGTCTCTTTCTAATAAGGCCTTCCTCCTAAATGACTTTTTTCGCACCTCGGGACTGGATGTCCTATTTCTAACGGAGACCTGGACTTCTCCGGGTGAGTTCATCCCCTTCTCTGAGCTTCTACCTCCTGACTGTGCCTTCTTTAGCTCACCTAGGCTAACTGGTAGAGGTGGTGGCTTAGCCTCGGTTTTCAATAATAAACATGATGCACGGCTGCTATCCTCTCCAACCTATTCCAGTTTTGAAGTTCAGCTATTGGAACTGACGGGCTCTCGGACCACTTTGTGTGTCGTGGTCTATCGTCCGCCTAAATATCATAAGATGTTTATCTCTGAATTTGCTGATTTTTTGGGATCCGTTCTTTTTAAATATGATTCTGTTATTGTTTCTGGAGATTTTAACATTCATGTCTGCTGTATGGATGACCAATTGGCTAAAGACTTTCTTGTGCTGACTGATTCTTTTAATCTTATTCAGTGGGTGAATGAGCCTACCCATGTTCAAGGCCACACCCTTGATTTGGTTTTTTCATTCAATGTGGACATTTGCATTAAGGAAATCAGGAATACTGGTCTCTCTGATCATTCCCCGGTCATCTTCGATGTAGACCTGGGTGATACTGGACAATACCTAAACTCTCCTCTTTATCCTACGCGCACTATTAATGCCAATACTGTGGTCAACTTTACTACGTCTTTTGTTAACTCCCCATTTAGTATGCTGGATTGTTCTTCCCCACACACACTTGAGAACTCTACTAATACTCTTTTTACCACCTGTTCCTCGATTCTTAACATTGTTGCACCCATCAAAATGAAACGCCCTAGAACTTTCTCACAATGCTGGTTAAATGATTCTGTTCGTGCCCTACGACGTATATGTTGGCGTGATGAGAGGAAGTGGAGGAGTGATAGACTTCAGTCTTCTTATGATATTTTACGTATTAGCCGCTCGAAGTTCCAAACTGCTGCCAGAACGGCTAAAGCGGCTTTTCTCTCTAAAATCATTACCACTAATGGTGATAATCCACGAATTCTATTTAAAATTTTTAACTCTGTGGTGAACCCCCGTCCCTCTATGCCACTGCTGTCTTCCCCGGGTCTTTGTGGAAAATTCTCAAACTATTTTTTAGATAAAGTTTTATCCCTTAGATCTACTCTTCCTCTGGTGACTGATTGTATGTCTACTCCTGATTGTTCGGCCACTTTTTATCAATTTGAACCCGTTTCTCTCTCCACTCTGAAGCGTCTAATTGATAAACTGAACAATACTAACTGTGTACATGATGCTCTCCCATCCCGTATTGTTAAGGATTGTTTCAGTGTAATTGGACCTTGTTTATTGTCCATATTGAACTTCTCCTTGCTTTCTGGCTATGTACCTTCAGCTCTCAAGCATGCCATAATCCAACCTGTTCTAAAAAAAAGGAACC